CCATTGTTGGTTCATATTAGCTAATGCAATAAATAATTTTATAATACCTTATTTTGTTACTGGAGGAAGCACACTTTTGGATTATGTACTTTAACCGTTGAACTAAGGTTTAAAGTTAAACTGCCTTAATGATGTATTTGTTTCTTACACACATGCAGCTTTTTGCTTCACAAGACATTAGTAGTTGTGTGGATTACTTTTGGATTATTCTGGACTCTCATTCTGACGGCACCTATTCACTGCAGAGGATCCAATGGTGAGTAACTAATGGAATGCTAAATTTATCCAAAGCTGTTCCAATGAAAAAAAAAAAAAAACGTATCTAAATCTTGGATGGCGTGAGGGTGAGTAAATATTCAGCAAATTCTAATTTTTGGTTGAGCTATTCTTTTAATGCATAACTATGTGACCAGACCTCTCACATCTGCATGCAATCTAGTTTATTCACTACACTTGCATTGCAATAGGGATTCACACTCCCAAACTCTCTTCAGCCCTACACTGCAAATCTACACGCACAACAATGTTGTCAGTTTCCTTGATGTGTTATGGAGGAGGAGGATAACAGGACTACATACTGTCTGAAAAGCTGTAGTGCGTGGGCAGCACAGGAGGTTCATCAGACAACATGGTATAATTTGTGATAAATACACAGGGTCCATCACACACTGCTGGAACAAAGACAATGATGACTAACTGCGTCACGCTCCACAAAGAAAAAAATTCTGTTTTTTTCTGTTAAGCCTCCAACCGATGAAATTTGCAGCTAGCTGGCCAAAGAAGATGCGTAAACATAATTTGTTATTTATGAAAACTCAAGGCTGAACTTGATGCTGTTTGCTTCATACATGATCAATCCAGTTTTCAAGCATCAACACAAAATCAACTTCAACCTTCATTTTCACGCTTTCATGCTTTAATTTTTAATAGTACTTTACTGACATGATTGTGTTTTCATACAATATTGCATTATACATGAAGCCATGTTTATGCATCTTATATATATATGGAGACGTCTCGCAAAAACAGAAAATAAAATTAAATAAAAATTAAATTAACCTTAATTATTCGAAACTTTTGGCAAGCAATATATTCTTTTTTTTATTTTATATTATTATATTCTCTGATGAAAATCCGTGAGGGGCCTCAGAATGAACCAGAATTATTGCAATAGCAGCAAGTTTCTGCAAAACTAATTTTACATAATTTAAAGCGGAAACCACTGCATGATGTATTCAGATACATGCTTCCATTTGTCGCATATGTACCGATTTTTCAAATTACAAATTCTGTTATGCAACGGATTTTACACTCTACACAACACTTTTTCCTTTAAACTGGAACATGAAAGAAAAATGTAATGTAAATTTTATGTATTATCATAAATTGAATGATAGTGCATGCAATATATTACAATGAGATTTCAATTTTAGACTGAAAAAGACATGCCTTGCTTAAAACCACATCTGCAAAAAATGTGAAAATGGACAAATTTCAAAGCCAATGTGTTATGAAAGACAGACAGAAAGAAAGATGTTCACATAAAACTATTTATAGCTGGCTAAAGCATAGTTGGCTAAAGCCCAGGCAATCCTATGAGACTGAAATCAGATGAGCGAATGGAAAAACATCCGCATAAAAATATTAGAATTATTTCAGCACTGGATCGAGATTTCTTCCTTTGCCCACATCTTCAAAAGCAAACATTACTAAATCATTCATGAGCACAGAGTCCCATCAGCTGCAGGCGGCTTGAATTAGCCCAGTTCACTCTAATCTGTGATAAGGACACCTCAGCTCTTTTCATAATCAACCATCTTGAAATTAATGATCCAATCAGACCTTCAAGCCTCCAAATCCAAACTCCACACATCTATTAGTGAAGCGGATACTTTGTGGTAATTGGAGTGTTTCAGAGGCTTTCTGCATTTTCCAGAGTGACCAGCAGGCTGAATGAACGCACTTATTCAGCTTGGATTAGGGATTGTTTGAGAGGTGATGGAAAAAGATGAATGCCAGCTTTAAACAGCATAAACATAAAAAGGCGATTTAAAATAAATAAATAAATAAATATACATAGGAAAGGCTTATTAACAAACAATATATCTAAATTGAATTGAGGACAGAATAAGCAGAAAAAAGGGTTGGTAGACCTGCTGCCCCACTAGTGAGTTGCATTTGCTCAGCTAGAAAACAACTAATGCATTAGTGGATGTCTTAAAGGAATAGTTCACCAAAAAAATAAAATGAGCTGAAAATGTACTCTCCCAAGCCATCTAAGTTTGTTTTTTCAGCAGACATCACTTGGATGGATTTTTTTTTATGACATATGCAGCTTTTCACTTCACAATACATCTGTTGATTGACTGGAGACGTGTGGATTACTTGTGGATTATTGTGATGTTTTTATCAGCTGTTTGGACTCTCATTCTGACGGCACCCATTCACTGCAGAGGATCCATTGGTGAGCAAAACTGAAAATCTTCAGTGACGGGGCTGGACAAGATATAAGAACTGAACATGATTAGCTAATAGTCTAAATGGATGCAGTGATGATAACTTGCTCTTTTCCAATACATCTCTAATTTTGGCATTGTTTTTTTCCTGGCAGAGAAGTGCTAGATGCTGGGAATTATTCAAATGACACCCATCATCTGATAGAGGGTATCACTTTAGATGCCAAGTTAGCTTTGAAATATGCAAATGGATCTACCACAGCCACACACTTTATCCACAGAGAGGCAGACGATGTTAGAAACCATATTACAGCACTCTTTTATTCATCCTGCAATGCTAAATCTATTTTGTAATTGTGATGATTTTTAAATTAGTCAAGATATATGCAAAACGATGATATGATCATTCCATATATCCTTTTCAGATTGATCTATTTTAAAAGAATAAAGTATTTTGAGAAATAGAATAAGCATAGAATAAGAACTAAAGTAATATTATGAGTATAAAGATATAAAGATTTATATTATGATATAAAGTCAAAATTCCATTTTTTCCCTCTAACCAAAACTGCATTTATGGGATCACAACTATACTCTATATATATAACTTTTCTGCTGTAATATATTTTAAAATTATATTAATTGCTCTGATGGCAAAGCTGAATTTTCAGCAGCCATTACTCAGTCTTGAGTCTGTGCTGATGTGACTAATTCAGATGTTGTATTCTCAGACAAAAGATTAAATAAGCAATGCTATAAAAGATGACACTATAGTATAGATGAAAAAGGAATCAGTCTGAAGTAAGTGAAAATCGGAAAAAACTAAAAATATTGTTATCCAACTCAAATATCTTGCAACATAGCAGGTGCCAAAATCAGTCTCCTCTCTTACTGGCATCTAACTCTCTCTTCACCTTAGCTGTCATGTTCCCCAGGTCTAGGCGTGAGAAAGCAACAGGTCTGGAAATTCACTCACAATAAAATAAGTCTCTAGTTTTTCCAAGAACACAGCAGGAGGAGGAACCCATGCCCTTGCACTACATGCAGGTTCTGTACAACAGAAGAACACAATGCCAAGATCTAAACAGAATAGGCAGGAATCACAGGTCACTGGGTGAACACAGCAGGGTTTTCTAATGGACGATTGAAGGGATTAATATCTTGAGGACCGCAGTAGGTGAGAAATCAAACACAGATTCAACCTTAAACTTACTAGCTACTCTGAGAGATGACATGCTGGTAAACAATCTCAAACTGCTCAGTGATTGTGGCTCTTGAATGAGAGCAAGAGGACTGTATCTGTCTAACACAGAGGGCAATATAATTCAATATATATATATATATATATATATATATATATATGATTGAACAACTTAATGTGCTTAGTGGGAGTAGTTAAACAAATTAAGTTTTAACAAACAATGCTTTGCCTCATAAGGTTTTTCAATTTCTAAAGCAGTCATATCTTGAAATTTTATTCACATCTTGGTGTTTACATTCAGCATTTTTATCTGCAATATCCTAAAATCTGCATAAACATATGCTACCATTTAAAGGTTTGATCTATCTATCTATCTATCTATCTATCTATCTATCTATCTATCAGTTTGGGGTTAGTCAAATATTTTTTGAAATATGTCTCTAATGCTGCTGCACAGTATTTTATCAAAAAGAACAGTTCTTATTATTATCAATGTCAAAAAACAGTTGCTGAAAAAAAGTGCTGCTTTTTTTTTTTTTTTTGGAAACTGATTTTTTTCAGGATTCTTTGATTAAAAAAAAAAACAATCCAAAAGGGCAGCATTCGAATTTGAAAAAAAAAAAAAAAAAATGTTGTAAAATAAATTTATTTACTGTCACTGATCAATTTACTGCATCCTTGCTTTAAAAAAAAAAAAAAAAAGTTATTTCCTTCCCCCCAAAAAACTGATTGGTAGTGTACATGTGGATGGAAACTGGACTTATTCTAGAAAGACTGGGAATGAGTACAGAAGTGAGAAGCTGGATTGGAAAATGACACCAACCGGACTTCAACTTCAACATCGACTATCTGAGCACCACAGCTCAACAGGTAGAATAAAATAACAAATGCATTTTTCATGCAATGCCGAGTATGAAAATGGCAAGCCTATTGGGAAACTGAGAATATCTTTCCTGAACTCCTTCATAGACCAGTCCATTACATAATGTTTCAATCACAGAGCTGAAGAAAGAAGATTTTCTCTTTAAACACGGTTGGGGGCAATTGTACTCATTTGATGCATGAGAAACCGGAGCTTCTTCCTTGGAAGTACTTCGAAGAGCGTCCTTCTATTTGATGTGGTACCCGACTGAGCCAAAGCAACTGAGTGTTTAGTGGTTTAGCAGCCTGCAGATGTGTGCATTCAGTATAAAAACTCACAAAGAATCAACTATATTGCATTTACTATGAAATCTCAAATATCACAAGAAAAACATTGAAAAGGGTATATAGAGATTCATTATTTGAGACAATCTTTTTCAAAATACATGTTCAAAAAATAATTTGTTCATGGGAACTCCTACCTTTGCGATCTGCACACACCAGTTGAGCAGCAGCTGGGAGCCGATGTTCTCCTGGTGTTCATGTACGTAGTCCAGCAGGCAGCCGTGGGGCATGAGCTGAGTTACCAGCTGAATAGTGGGACTCAAGCAGACCCCCAAAAGACGCACTAGATGAGGATGCTCCATGCTGGCCATGATCAGCGCCTCCTAGAAGACAAAAACAGAAAGACTGTAAATGTGCTGTTTTCATCAACAGGGTTTATCGTCAAGTATCTCATAATACAATACAATACATATTGGGAAACCAAATTAAAACCATAATTTAAAACCCCTCCAAAATCACAAGAGAGGCCCAATATGCCTGCAGGAGAAGGTCTGAATCTGCAGTTTCAGTTTCAATCTCTCTCGCACCTCATAGAAGCAATTGAGAAACGTAGCACTTTACACTGGCACATCACAAAGCATACTAACAGCTTAATAAAGGTCACAAGGTTCATTTAAAAAGTTCGCCTTTAGACTTCTCTTTACACTGTACAACGGTTTAGGGTCAGCAAATGAAATGTTTATTTATATTTTTACATTTATTCAGTAGGGATTGGTTAAATTGAACAAAAACGCATTCACAAAGGCATTCAACGTTTCCAAAAAGGCTGTTCTTTTGAAATGTCTATTTGTCAAAGAATCCTGAAACAGACTTTCAAAATCTTACCAACCTCAAACTTTTTACTTTTACTAGTGTACGTTTATGCAATAATCAGTGGTGGACAGTAACGGAGTAGCTTTACTTCGTTACTGTACTTAAGTACATTTTTCAAGTATCTGTACTTTACTGGAGTCGTTTTATTTTGAGTAACTTTTACTTTTACTTCACTACATTCCAAAGCATAAGATCGTACTTTTTACTTCACTACATTTCATAAAACATATCGTTACTCCTTATAATATATCACGTGCTCCGAGACGCAGAAGCGGTGTCTGATTCAAGAACGAACTGATTCTTTTCAATGAACCTTTTAAATCGGTTCGCAAATCGCACCAAACGATTCATTGACGAATTAGAATGAACCGATTGCAGCTGTTCTCGAGTCGACAACTCACTGATTCAAATGAACCGTTTAGTGCGAGTCTCCAGTGAACTGAAGTCACAAGTAAGAACCGGGAGATCTTGTGAGCGTGCGCGCGTCTGATGCTGTTAAAAGTAAGTTACTAATGTCGAGTTTTAGGATGAATTATTGTAACTGAAAATCATATTTAGGTCAAAACTGTCAGTTGTTTGTGAACTAAATCTGCTGTAAAGCGTGATCTATTTAAGCCCACTGAAATGATTGAATGCAGACACATCAACATCTGTGTCTCTATTTTAGGTTTAAAAAAAAAAATTTTAATATAGGTTAAACCGAAACATTAAAATAACACAGACTAAATAAAATAATTAAGCAATTGCAGAAAGCAATTTCAAAGTAAGCCTTAAAATAAGTGTAACAATTTGTTATTCATGTGAACAGCATGATGTTAAGCTATCAAGTCAAAGGCCATATAGCCTTAAAAGCAATAGCCTAAGCTGGTTAGTTACATTATATTCATCTAATTTTAAACATACACAATAATGCATGTAATTTCCAGAAATGATTGTGTCGGTTATTTGATTTGCACTGTTGGTGAAAAGGACATTTTCAGTAAATTCATTCCCTTGCATTCTTATTTTTCAAATGATGGTAACAAGTAAAGTAAGGTTTAATTGTAAATTACTCACATCCATAAACTCCACATTGGCTTTTGGTCCTGTGCTTTCATTGAGTATCTTTATGGCCACTGGAATCTTCACAGTTTCTCCTTCTGGAACCCAGATTCCCTTATAAAGAAGATGGCATCGGAAGTCAGTTACATGTTAACTAATATATTGTTGAGGAACCGCAAAACACACAAATCATAAATGTTAATGTAGCACCTTGTAAACAATGCCAAAGGCTCCTGTTCCCAAGATCTTGACCCTCTTAAGCTCTGTCTCTTTCAGTATACGCAACTGTGCCTGGTTGGGCGCTGTGCCGCTTGGCGTTAAAGGCTCCACCAGCTGCTCAAAAGACACAATCAACATCAAAATCACTCAGCATAATCACAAATTCACTCATAACTACAATGTCTTCTTCAGTTTGATCCACCAGCCACAGGTTAGCCTTATAATAGACTCATGTTCTGTCTGATTTCATTATTGTCATCATGTATGAATGTATTCATTTGGTTATAGTCTGGGTTTTGCCTATTTTAAGTTTTCAGTTTGCATTGCTCAGTCTTTGATTTCCCATCTTTGCTTCTCGAGTTAAGCCTGTGTTTATACAGAGATACTTTCAGTGACATTATTTAACTTGACTCACCATTTCTTGGCTGATCTTTAGACTTATCAAGAGGTTATTGGACTTGCTTATAATCCCAAACCAATTCCCAAGTTCATATGCCTTCAACAGAGCTTTCAGGGCCTCAAACTAGATATCTGTATTGAAACCATTCAAAACCACAATGCCTTTTGTCTTTTCATTTTCACCTTTAAACCTCAACTAAAAACCTTGAGTTTTTCCCTCTACTGAATGCAAAGACACTTTGACCGCTAGAAAACCCCCATCTATATAAAGACCTAATTTCTATATAGTTTATTATTAATCCTGATATTATTGAGTATATATTTTCTTGACTTTCAAAAGAAAAAAAAAACCCCCAAAACAAACCAACCTGAAACAATAGCAGATACTGTTAACAGTAGATCAACTTGGTGCTCTAAACTCCTTAACACCTAACAGAACTGCAGATTTCATAATATTGACTTAAACTTTATATCAAATGCACACACTCACACACATACTGGCTGCAGAACATTTTGAAGTACTTTCATAAGTTTCTGTTTAAGGATCTGAGAATGATCTCCATTATTCCATTTGAGGTTTCCCGCCATTGAAGTGAAAGAGGCACTTTCAAATGGAAAATTGAGACTGGCTATAGACCCCACATGCACCACAACAACAATTTCACTGGCCAGTTTTCTATCTGATTTTCTTTTTTCTCTCCCTCTCTCTCTTTGCGTCTCATGAAACCCAATGTTTTTCAGATTAATTCTCTGCAACCAAATTATTTAAAATCATTTTAAATGCTGTCCAATTTTTAGCTCTCACCTCTGTTTCCAGGAAACGGCGTAAAGCTCTTTTCTTCTTGATGCTCTTCCGTCGGAAAAAGATAGCAAATCCGAGGGCCACAATTACGACCACAAACATCCCCCCAATCACCCCAGCTGCAGTCAGAGGAGTCCTGGAGGAAAATGCAAGGATTTAAAACATATACCATAATATACTGTTAGAACAATTCAGAGTATATAAAATACTGCCTTGTTTTTAAGGGAAATGGCATTATCGATGCAATCACAACCACAGCTCTACGCACACGTCATATTATTTTTCTTTTAATATTATAAAAGTGAGAAAAAGTGTTAACTCTCAGTAAAAACCTGAACTTTTAAGAAGGACCACTGCTTTTCCAGAAATAGTGGCATGTTTTTAAAAAAAATGATTACATGTTCAAATTAACTCAATAATACACTAAATGGGCAACAAAGGTATGAAAAGCTTCTAGTTGAAAAAAAAAAAAAACTACTTAGAAAGATTCTGTAATGTGTTGACTGTATTTAATTAATTGATTATTAGTTTCCTGAAATTAAGTGTTAGAAATTTTGTTATGAAATACTTTGCTTTTGACCTTCATATAGTATATATATATATATATATACATACATATAAACTTAAAATCAGTGCCTTGAACGGTATGAAAGCAAAGGAAAACATCTAGGTGTTTACCTGTCCAGCATCCCAATACAATCTTGGATCTGGGGTCCAGTACACCTATAACACAGACAAGATAGAAAGTAATAATTAAAATAACACTACTTTAATAGATTGCTACCAATGATGATGATGATGGGTTATTAGCTCACATACACTACTTTTCATAAGTTTGGTGTCAGTAAGATTTTTTTTTTAAACAAAACACTTTTACTTTGTTACAAAATAAATGCTGTTCTTGTATCAAGACTTCCACAAAAATATTATGCAGCACATCTGTTTTCAACATTTATAATAATAACATATACTTCTTGAGCAGCGAATCAGCATATTAGAATTATTTCTGAACTGAAGACTGTAATGATGCTGAAAATTCAGCTTTGTATCACAGGAATAGACTACATTTGAAATATATTAAAATAGAAAACAGTTATTTTAAGTTTTAAATAAAATAAATTTAAATAAAAACAAAAACATTTTTCAAAACATTTTAAAATAGCATATTAATCCCAAGCTAGTGTATATCACTCACTTATGGTAAAAAATGTGCACAAGGTTAACTGTTGATCTACCTAGTCATCTCTAGCATTATCCACTTTAATGAGCGTAAGTGTAGCCTGAAATGATCTCCAGAGCTCTACATTCAGGAATAAGGCATGTTGGAGTGCTGTGACAGTGGTGACTGGGTTCAGTAATCACAGAGAACAGTGCTGAAGAGCGCATGCCTGACAGTAACCAGCGGCAATGACTGTCACCCACGAGATGAAGGGCTCGCGAGCGCTTTGTTATGGTGTCCTAGAGCATTGCAAGAGCTTTGATTTGAGAGCTAAGACAAACCAGAACGAAGCAGAGGTTCATACTGTGTGGATGTTTCTAGTGTGTCCATGTGCAGTATGATCTGCCTCAGATCTACAGGATGTGACACCGAAGGCCTGTGGAACTGCACCCAAATTCACCAACCCACTGGGCAGTTAAAGTTTAGATAGTGACATATTTGAATGAATGCAGAGATTTATGGGATTTCCAAGATGAAACTAAGAGAAAGAACTGCCTAGGGCAGGGCTAGTGAACTTTGGAAAGCTCAGGGGCCACAAAAAAGGATCTTTCAGCCTCGAAGGCTGCACTTATATTTTTAGCAATTCTTTGATATAAAAGTCAGAAGGATACTGTATGTGTGGCATGTGTTATGATCAAATCATATTATGTGTATTTTTTTGATTATTTGTACAGGTATATCATTCAGTTATTTTCTTTCTTATTTGTAAAGCAATTATTCGTAACAAATGAATGACAATTCTGATATTCTTACGATAAAAAAGCTTCACATTCTTGTAATATCGCATGTAACACTTAGGTTAATAGTTTTTTTTTGTAAAACGGTAGAAAAATTTGAAAAACGTATGGTCTTTTTTTTTACTGTTTATATTATTATGCAACATTTCTTGTAACTTTGCTTTAAAAGGTGATATGTAAATAAGGCTTCAAATCTTTCAAAACTTTGAGGTCAAAAGAAATTAATACTTTTATTCAGCAAGTTCACAATAAATTGATCAGAAGTGACTAAGTATATTGTGAAATAATATTTCACAGTATTAATATATATTTTTTTGGTGAGCATCAGAGATTACTTTCAGGAACAGTAAAAAATCTTACCTACTTCAACTTTTGAACAGTAGTATACATTATAAATATAATTTGGATAATCCATGTTTTATGCTGCTGTAAACACCATCAAAAGCATTTACTGCTTTATCATGATCCTTATTAACAAGGCAAGAATCTTGGTAAGATGTTTGTAATGTAATTACTGCAGTTGCCATGACAATGATAAAATCACACGGGCCTCAATAGGCTCTGTGTGTTGAGTAGTGCTGGCCTGGAGGAAAAGACAAACACACATGCATGCAGAAACTTACCCCTGGGTGCAGTTGGGGTGGCAGGGATGGCACTCGTTGTTGGTCTCAGCATATTTGAAGATGAAGCTGTTTGCTCCCTGCAGACCATCAGGGCATTTCTCCACACAGTTGGGTCCATCTTTGAGATGCAAGCACTTCACACAGTGATCTGGACCCTAAACCATACATACAAAATGCTTGACCATGACATATAAAATTAAATTTGTCTAGAAGTCGTACTTGACGATGGATAAATAAAGGAAAACAAACTACTTACAATATTCTATTGATGCACGTCACTTTTTGGTACTTTCTTATGAGTTTGAGTAACTTTCATTAAACTTTTACTTAAACCACAAAGCGGTGCTGATAACATAAACAAATTCATACATATTTGATCAAAGTAATTGCCCATTTTGAGACGGGTGTCACACGGTTGGACGAGTTCTTACATTCTTTGACAGCTCTGATGTTGCTAATTATGCAGCTTAGGAATTGAGATGGACAGACAGGTTATCATAAGAAGATGAGAGCTTTGTTCTTCTGTAATTAAGTTCTAAAACTGACACTTGAATTTTTACATTTTACAGACAAAATAGAGGACTTCTAACTTAATTTACTGAAAAATATCATCATGACGGCCTGGATGGGTTGGACTGGAATAGCAGAGCAAATTTAAAAGGTATTTTAATAACTGTCAACATGGTATTCGTATTCAATTTTACTCAAAAAATGTAGGGTGAGATTTGATAGGGAAAATTTGAGGCAAGTTTATGCATTTTTATGAAAGTTTACGAAGGCAAAAAAAAAAAAAAAAATCTTTGGAATAAAGTGCACAAATGAATCACGGACAACCAAGAAAGTAGTTTGATCAATTCTGATGATGTTGACTTTAGGGGCCGTTTACATGACAACATTTTCAGCCAAAAGTGGGAAACTTTTTATGCGTTTTTCCTGTTCGTTTTACTCGACAACGCCGTTTTGGGGACTGAAAACGCATATTTTTGAAAACGGGTTCCAAAGTGCAAGTTTTTGAAAATGCCACCGTTATCGTTTCCGTGTAAACACCCAAAACGGGAATTTTTGAAAACGGTAACGTCATGCGCGTGCGTAGTACATGTTAGGTATGTAGACATTCACAGTACGTGTCGATTTTAAAGGCAAGCGCGAACAAACATATACAATAATGGCGAAGTACATGGTACTGTTGTTGCTGCTCAAGAGTTTGCTAACACTTCTTCAGCAAAGTGTGGATTTACTTCACCAATATAACAACCAACAGCGGAGATGCATATACAACATCTAATCGTCACTTCCCTACAGGTACTGTTTACTAACAAGGTAACCATCTACTGGCCTGGCATACGTAATACATCGTTTTTTTGCCATTTTCGCAGATATGTGTAAACGCGAATTGTTTTAAAAACGTTGTCGTGTATACGTGAAACTTTTTAAAAACGCAATGGAAAAACGTTTCTGTTTTTGACTACATCGTTGTCGTGTAAACGTAGCCTTAGATAGCACTGCTTGGTTTACTTACAGGGCCATGACAGGTAAAAGTTTTATCTTCGGCCTTTTCACACTGGCTGTCACACTCCACACACACTGATCCATTGGCAAACTCGCGAACATCTCTAAAATATGCAAATGAATAAAATAAAAATAGGTTAATTAAACATTATACTTTAAAACAATTACATTAGCAAAATTTTAATAAAATAAAACAAAATAAAAGAATGAAATATCATTTAGTTTTATTTATCACTTTCCAACAACCAATTTTGGCCATATATGCATAAATACTAGTCTTGTAATTATTCTTTTATCAATCAAAAGCATTTCAAAGTAGGTGATGTATTCTCTCAGCAACAACACATACAGCAGGTTTTGTTTTGTCTCCGACTCATCCTCCATGTCTTCTTGAACCACAGCCAACTGAACCACAGACACTATATTCACACACTGGCGAGAACTTGGCTAATACACCAGTCGGCTGAGTAAGATCCATGAAAAAATAAAGGCATTTTAATTAGAAAAATCTTTCTCGGCACTGGTCTGAGAGGAAAGAACAAACAGTCCTCTTTAAATTTTATCTAAACAGATGGCAGCTCAGATTGCAGGAGATACGGCAGAGGGGCTGCCTAGCAGAGCCATCAATACCCTTTCCTTTGTTAGTTTCCATCAGCCCATGTTTCAGAGGAAAATTTTGAGAGCCGGTTCCAAAACAGAGAAAGATGGTGCCTTGTCAATAACAGAATGGGATCAAAGAAACCTCCCAGATCCAGATCTTAAAACATTGGAAATCGAGTGTACGAACGCTCACAGTTTAAAGTTTGTCACACTGGAAAAATTTACAGTCAAAATGGTGCTAATGTGATGCCCTAAACCAACTAAACTACCAACTACAAACTACCAAGACATCTACCCACCTACCTACCTACAACTCTGAATGGGTGTTACTTTAAAGGTGGCATATCATGAAAATCTTAGTTTAGTATGTGCATGCTTCAGATGTGTGCGTGTAGAAAATCAGAAGTTTAAACTAATATGGTTTAAAACACATGATTTCAGCACAACAGACATGATAATCAAAACCAAACAGATGTTTTTTAGCAGAGTATCTGAGGAAAGAGCTGTAAAGGCACAGCCCTATTCTGGAAAAGGGGGCGGGGAGCAGCAGCTCATTTGTATTTAAAGAGACATGCATGAAAACAGTGTGTTTCTGCTTCCACTCAAAATAGGCATTTTCAAAATGATATAATAAATTATCTGTGGGTGGGTTTTAAGCTGAAGCTTACAGACACATTCTGGGGACACCTGAGACTTAGGGTGCTTTCACACTTGGTTCGCTTGCCTGGTCCGAACCCAGGTTCGATTGCTCCACCTTCCCACTGCCCCCGCTGGACTGCATTCATATTATTTTATTTGGGTCCGAACCGCGGTTTGTTTGCGTCATCAAGCCAGCAGCTGTTTACCCCGTTGCTTAGTAACGACGGCGCAGGAGAAGGCGGCAAATGCATAACATTGCTCTCTGCACTTTTATATATTTACGTTTTTGAACCGTTCATTTTGTTTACAAAGCTTCGGTACATAATGGCACTTACGTCTGTCACGTTTACATCAGCAGCGAACCGTACCGGAGTTCACTTGAACCGTACCCCAGACCACCCTTTTTAAGCGGACTCGGGTACGGTTCGCGGGTGCGCACCCGAGTTCGGAAGACAGCGTTCACATCATCCAAACGAACTGAACTCTGACATCAATCGAACCCGGGTGCGCACCAAAAGTACTAGTGTGAAAGCACCCTTATATTACATATTGTAAAAAGGGGCATAATAGGTCTCCTTTAACATATTTTAGTTTACTTTACTTTATATTTTAAAAGTAAATTCAGCATTATTTTATTTCATTTAAATATTTACTATCTACCCATCTACCTACCCACCTACATACCCACCTACTAACAGCTGTTAACTGTTTTATTTTATTATTTTTTGACTTTTGTTTTATGACTAAAAATTAAATTAACCAAACAAAATTTATATTGATTCACCAAATAATCAGAATCAGAACTACTAAGGCTCCTACCCATACCTACCTACAACTCTTAATGGTTTTTTATTTTATTTTATTTTATTTATTATTTTATTTTAACTTTATTTTATGACTTTATTTGATTTATTTTTAATTTAAAAATTAAATTAAACAAACATCATTCAATTTGATTAACCAAATAATCAGAATCAGAGCTACTAAGGCTTCTATTTACCCATCTACATACCTACATCTCTTAATTGTTTATTTTATTTTGTTTTAAATTCACCAAGTGAATTTAAAATAAACACATAACGCTGCTCTCAGGTCTGAACTCTTGGTTGAGTGACTGGAGATGTTTGGCACATCCCCATTCATAGACTGGGGCTGCTGATTTAAAGTGCAATTAATTGAGTGTAATGAGACCCCTGTTCATTCTCCAAAATATGACACTCCCCCACAGCTGATTATTGTTAGGAACTAAATTACATTTTTCTGCCACGGGGAATCCTATTCAGATGTTGGTCAGAGTTGCCATTGTTTAATGACTACAGCAGAAAAGCAGTGCCAACCAAAGAGCTCTTCTCTGACGCTCCCGGTGGACCAGAATGTAAATTTGTTGTCAGATGAGTGTTTCCTCTTTGTCATTCACAGATGGCAGTGTGTTCTGAGCCCGCTCGGGACAGGCCGAGGAACAATTAGCTGGATTTTGGTCTGTGCATGCCGTAGCGCTGACCAGACACGGTCCTGCTGCCTTCTGCGTTCAGACTATAACTTTTAGATGAAATCCATCCCTCTCTCTGATTCTTTTAATCTTTTCTCACACATCCCCAAGGCAGAAGTTTGTACACAATTGTGTTTACAAAGTGACTGGGGGCGAACGGCAATCTAAATGATAGATAGTCTTCATAAAACAAAAAAAATACTGCCGTAACCATGGCTATACCCAATAGTCTAGTGTCAGAACCTGTGGAGATTCAAACGCTACCCACACAATGGGCCTCATTCATGAAACATTTGTAAATATATGAGTAAATTCTGAGTAATTTACTCGTAAAACAGACCTTCCCGAAAACTCGCCTCCGGATTCACAAATACTTCGTAAAGGTCAGATTTAATAGTTAAATGTGTGTATGTTAATGAGTTCCAATCATTCGTAAATATGCAGTTTAAATCACAAGTATGGGTGAGTTGAGCACTGGAGAGCTACTGAAATCACAGGGAAGTTCACTATTATGATTTTCAACAAGGTGCTTAACCCTAGAGTTGCTCCAGAGGGAACGTCCTATTATTTTTGATTAAAGTGCCTGCTAAAAGGACTGTAGCCAAGTATATGTGGGTGAATGATTGTTAAAAAGCTTTCTTAGATTTAAAAGAAAAATGCAAAGTAAATTTAATAGGTAAAACTTGTCTGTATTCCGCTTTATGCATTTCAACCAATAAAATATACTTTAGGTGTTGTATGGATAATTGCATGTGGAAAGCAAAAAATAGACACTGAGCATGTATCCACAGCTGTCATATTTCATATTCAGCCCACATGCAGGTATGACTATACACATAACTGTCTACACCTCCCTTGCTGCCACACTGATTTATATCTTAATCATAAATAGGGAGCTTTTAGCTTGTGTTCCAAAGTGATGTTGAAGAAAATCATCTAGAGAGAGACCATGTATGGGGCTGAATGATGCCAGATCCCCTTAATATCCATGAGAGGGAGATAAATCATACGGTCTCTTGGCTCTAAGTGGTTTGTTAGCTGCATGAATAAATATGACACATGGAGTAGGAAAGCACATAATTTAATGAGACTGTGTCACCCACTTGAAAATCTGACAGATTATGTAGCTGAAAACAATGGTAGTGTTTGATGCTCTGGTCTGTTTTCTTCTGAGGAGCAGAATTATGGTCTTAGCGCTCAGCAACAAAGAAATGCGACATCTTTTATATAAACATATTCAGGCAGCTGTAGAATGTTATGTAGTCACACATCATCGGTGTTGAAACAATCTTACCATGCAATAACCAGGTCCATCTGCCTGAAAGACTGGCCTTTCTGGTTTAGATGCCGAACGACTCTAAATCAGCCTGACCAGCCAGTCAAATGACTTATCTTTACTCCCTTTCCTGATAGTAAAACTGTCTTTAGCTATGTTTGCAATAGCAAACTACTATGCAACTCCATGCAACCATTTTTGCAGTATGCAATCTGTATATGTATTTTTATGTATTTTATAAAGTACCTAGTTGACCCACACTCTTAAAAAAAGTCCATAAGAATACGGTTCAATGTACTGTGAAAAGGCCCGTTCAAGCCTAGAATGATAACTAGAATGATAACTATAATGATAACTAGCCTGAAAAAAATCATTCTAAAAGTGATTTTAACAATATTGTTTGTCTGTGCCATCATTGTTATAGTTGTAGTGTGAGATCTGCTATTCTATCAAATGTAGAACATTGTTTTACAACTATATCTTTATCGTATTAGTTATCCTTGGTGCAAATGGGCTTTTATGAAGTAATTTTCCATATCGATCTTGCACAGGTGTTTTCCCCATATTTTGAATTACGCATTATATTTTGTTGTGTTTTAGGATTAAAGGAAATGTCCTTAACTTAACAATGTATGTGAGATGTTTAAAATTTAATTCAACATTTAAGTCAAATGATGTGATTTGAATCGGTGTTTGTTTTGGAATAAACTGGAAAAAATTGTCTTGAAAAAGAATTTTGCTTCATATCGAAAAGTTGATAATGGCACATAGTTTAAAAACTAGCCTTGTGCCAGTCTACTATCAGAACATTGGATTGAGGGACACTTTGGATTGATATGCTCCTCCCCATATGAATCCAAGATTTATTGAATATTATCACTGAGTACACTATGTACACTATGTAACTTTTGGCCCTCAAGCTTTAAAAAAATAAAATTACATGCATCTTGTGAAAGTGTGCTTTAGCTCTGCTTGTCTGAATGGATGAATATGGATGGTTAAGAGTCTTCAAATCCTGATAGCAATAAACGATTAAAGTGTTCTAAATTATTCAAATATATTGACAGCCTATATCTTCTGTAAAAGTCTAAGGACCATAAAATGTTTTACCAATCATTACATTCTGTCCAAATGCAATGATAAGATGTCCTACCTTGCCTGTCAACCTATGTATTTGCATACCTCCGTGCAGTCAATAGCGAGAGTTCGGGGCATGGTCGCTGTAGCAGGCTGAGCCGGAAGACCTAACAAAATACACAGAGACAGACAACGGGGTAAAACGAGAACAAAAACTGGCAGTTCCCTTTCGAGCTTTCACGAGACATCGCGGAGGTTTCTCTGCTTATAAGAACTCCTTCCCTTCCAACCTTTCCTGAAGTCCTATTGGCTCACGCCAGTACAATTGACTGGCCAATTGTCACAAAGTATGCAAATCGCATGCAAATACTAACGAGCTCGAGAAGCAGTATAAAATGCGGAGCACGCGACAATTACGTCAGAATCTTCTACATCACCTGCTGAATTCATTATGGCTACAGTCTGCAATATCTGCGCGGGACCAATAGAGCCGCCAGATTAACATGACCACTGCGTCACCTGCCTGGGCCTGGCCCACACTGAGGCGGCGCTGGATGAGTCCAACTGCGGGCATTGGGCCTCATTCATGAAACATTCGTAAATATATGAGTAAATTCTGAGTAATTTGCGTGTAAAACTGACCTTCCTGAAAACTCTCCTCCGCATTCACAAATACTTCGTAAAGGTCAGATTTGATAGTTAAATGTGTGTATGTTAATGAGTTCCAATCATTCGTAAATAGGGCGCGCATGTACGCTCATTCACAGCTACGCAAATTACGTATCTAGGAATGGTGTGGAATCCTTGGACTCAATTCTCAGGTTTGATAAGTTATATAGCATAAATGCATAAGAGACTAATAGGCTATATGCCTAACAATAAATTAATAAATGAACGTGTGTCCACCAGAGCGTTTTTAGCCAGCTGACATAATGCCTGGTGCTCATCTGAAAACGACCAGCTGGTGGTGCTTGAGAGAGCTTTAGAGGCACTGCATTTTTCTGGAGTGACGCGTTGTTTGCTATGATTTGGAATATTCACGGCAGTAACATGTTACCAGTATCTTATTTTGAAGAATATTACTGAATATAAAAATGCATACTCTACTGTGATTGGACGGCTGTGTAAAAAGGGACAGTGACGAGCTCTGCATTTTACCCAAAGTTAAAGAGTAAAAAACGAAAAAAGGACAGGGCAAATTAACTCGTTAAATATCATTCTAATACATAGTTACGTCAGAACGACTTTCCGAATGATTTACACAAAAAATCGTTCTGCTCATGTTTCATGAATGAGGACCAATGATTTTATTCATGAAACAATGACAGAATGAAATTGTGTAATGGGTATGTAAAATATATAAACTGTCAACTTGACAACTGACAATTGGATTTATGAATTTAGGTTTATTAAGGTCTTAATGATATACTGATCAAAAGACTTACAGCGTACAGCTTCAATTTAGTGTTATTAGTGAAATATGTTATGTATTATATGAATTTCTTTACAAAAAAACAAAAACATTTTTGTCTTGTTTTACACCAATAATGACATGTTATTAAATTATATAAACAATAATATAAAAAATATATTTATTAACAAAGTGAATTTTATGTTCATAATTCAGCTTTTTTTAATCAACCGTTTATTATATTTTAAACAATTCTTTTAATGAATTTAAACAATTTTATGAATATTATAATGATTATTTTTATTTATTTATTTTTTCCTGGCTGTTGACAGTATTTTCTAATTTATGGAGTGATATCCAAAACCTTTAACTCAAATATGTCGGTAAAATTAAATAAGAATTTTGAGCCTGGCTTCATCTAATGTTCAGATTTTTGTATGGGGAAATGTATGAATATTCATGAATATTTAATTATATATTGTCTCATTTGTATATTTAAACATAATATTTCAGAAGAAATGTAATACAAAACAATGTCTATCTATCTATCTATCCATCCATCCATCCATCCATCCATCCATCCATCCATCTACATACTGTATAATAATAATAATAATAAAAAAGAAGTACCACTTTTCAGCATGAACCTAGATATGGCAGATCATATTTTTCTTGCTCCTTCATTTCTGAAGTCTGGGTGCAAGCTGTCTTTTACTCACCCATCATAGAGATGACAGGCTTTCACACATGTCTTTCCCCGGCTGAAGTATTTACAAGAGAGACACTGATCTGGACCGGGACCCCAGCATCCTGCCACTGAACATAGCGGATCACACACCATCCTTTGCTGAGCTGCGGAAGACATCCACAGAAATGTCTTTACACACATACATTATGGGCATTATATGGGTATAAGTTAGACATTAAACAATATTAAAGGCCCCATGACATCCAGACTGAAGTTTTGTGGCTTTTAAACCATTTCTACAGGCTTTGAGGTCATCCATGTGCTAGTGTATGGCTAAACATCTATACTGTATGTTCCTCTCAAATATCCTTTTTCAAAAGGAAATATGTCAACATCACTTTTTAAAAGTTTGTAAACTGATATTGCTGAGGTCAGATTTTGCTTTATCAGCTAATTCAAGCATATTCAAATATTTATATACAGATATAACTACTGAATCAATAAATCCCAAATAAAAACTCTGTATTGACTGAACCAAAGTCCCTCATATTGTCAACTGGGACCATCAGCTGTGAATGGAAAGCACTGGATGCAGTTCACGGCTGTCGGGGCTGTTGGACAATCCAGGGATATCAGTCGACTGTGATCGGCAGCGTGGAAAAGAGGCGAGTGAATGAGCCGGCTAACAGCACCATTGATCCCACACACCACAGACTTATTATCTCACTAATTACATCAAGCACAGCTTGGCAGTGCGGCACTGTGGGAAGTGTTCTGCAACTGTCAACATCTCCATTACGGACAAGTCTGTGCTTCTCCATTTCATCAGTTCAGGGAATTCTTATCGTACATAAGATACTGGCCTGTAAAATGATTGTCTTTATATCCTATATGTGTCCCAAAGGTGCAGTGTATTGAAATTCAAGAACTGGCAGACCTAATAGACTAGTCTATTATTAACGCTCAAGTACTCTATGATGGTTACTGGGATGACAATATTACAGGTCATTTAGCCAATAACTGTGCAAATCTCTCGAAAACCTCATAGTTAGCCTCAAATTTAAGGGGAGACACTGCAGGCAAAAACACAGCTTTTTCATGCACCTGTCAAGTTTGAGATTTTGGGCTTTTTGGTTTTTCATAAAGTGTTTTTTCAGACTAGAGGAAAGACAACATCCAAAAGACACTGTTAAGTGTTTCTTTTATAGCACTTTATCTATTTGTGTCAATAGATTTCAATTACAATACATATTTTTTGACCTTGGATTTTAGTAATGAGAATTGTGCCTAATTTTCTATGGAAATAATGACATAATATTAAAAATATAAAAAGTATTATAAAAGTAATATAAAAATTAGTGTGTGGATTTAATTTTTTAATCCCAATCAAATGTATTAATAATCAAATGTGTACTAGAGTTTAAAGTTTAGTATTTTAAAACTTTAACATTTTTAAATTAACTTAAAAATTAAATGTAAACTTTTAATTATTATTATTTTTTCTTTTTTTTTGCATAAAACAAAAGCTGGCTGTTGAGAGTATTTTCTGATTTATCAAGTTGAAAAACTCAACAAAATTAATCAAGATGTTTGAATCTGGCTTAATCCAATGTTCAGATTTTTATTCTAGAAATGTATGGAAATGAGTTCATTTTTTTTTGAGTTCATATTTAATTAGATAAACCCTCATTTGCATATTTAAACATAACATTTCAGAAAAAATTGTTATACAAAACAATTTTCTTAATGTACTGTGTTTAATCAACTGGGGAAACGTCTCAGGTTACTTATGTAACCATGGTTCCCTGAGTAGGGAACGAGACACTGCGTCCTCTAGGGGTCGCTATGGGGGACGCCTCGTCGTGACCCGTGTCTGAAGCATACATTGAAAAAACACCAACTCGTTGGCCGGCGACAGCCATGACGTCACTACCGGTGCGACTATAGTATAAATAGGCGCCGGGAGCATACATCATTCACTTCTTCATCTGAAGCTTGCGTCCGCAGCATGGCAAGAAACCTAGAGGACGACTGAACCAAAGTCCCTCATATTGTCAACTGGGACCATCAGCTGTGAATGGAAAGCACTGGATGCAGTTCACGGCTGTCGGGGCTGTTGGACAATCCAGGGATATCAGTCGACTGTGATCGGCAGCGTGGAAAAGAGGCGAGTGAATGAGCCGGCTAACAGCACCATTGATCCCACACACCACAGACTTATTATCTCACTAATTACATCAAGCACAGCTTGGCAGTGCGGCACTGTGGGAAGTGTTCTGCAACTGTCAACATCTCCATTACGGACAAGTCTGTGCTTCTCCATTTCATCAGTTCAGGGAATTCTTATCGTACATAAGATACTGGCCTGTAAAATGATTGTCTTTATATCCTATATGTGTCCCAAAGGTGCAGTGTATTGAAATTCAAGAACTGGCAGACCTAATAGACTAGTCTATTATTAACGCTCAAGTACTCTATGATGGTTACTGGGATGACAATATTACAGGTCATTTAGCCAATAACTGTGCAAATCTCTCGAAAACCTCATAGTTAGCCTCAAATTTAAGGGGAGACACTGCAGGCAAAAACACAGCTTTTTCATGCACCTGTCAAGTTTGAGATTTTGGGCTTTTTGGTTTTTCATAAAGTGTTTTTTCAGACTAGAGGAAAGACAACATCCAAAAGACACTGTTAAGTGTTTCTTTTATAGCACTTTATCTATTTGTGTCAATAGATTTCAATTACAATACATATTTTTAAAGGTCGTTTTCTCAAAATGAGTTTTTTCTCCTACACTGAGTCATAAATCTCCACTTCAGTAGCATGTGCACACACCAAACTTTACATTTTTATTCTTGTCTATATCCTGGAGGTTTTTACATTTTATTCCCCCCAAAATTGTGAAAATATAGTGTTTTACACCAAGAAAAGAAAACAAAGCCTGCTTTTAAGACCATTTATAGTTTACATTGATTTCATGACAATTATGCATTTACCCCTAACATAACAACCCCTTAAACATAATATTAAATATAAAATTTGATAAAAAGAAATGATATAACATTAAATAATTACAGTATATTAATTATATTAATTATACATAATATAAAATTATATATATA